AAAGTGGATGTGACTGACCGATGTACCGAGAGCCATCGTGGGACTGGTCGCGATTGCTCGGGGTGCGGTGAGCCCCCAAGCGCCTGTCCATGGAGAAGTTGTTGCAGTCTCTGAGCCACGAACTAATGAGGGCGCTTCTTCAGTGCTAGGAACGGTCGTAGCCGGTGCGTATCGACCTCTCGGCTGGCTTTGGGTTGAACTTTGCTGGCTCAACATCCTCGACGGGCCTGTGAGCCCCCGAGGGTGTTTTCTTAGTGTTCAGCCTAGTGTCGCTTCTGGCTAGGAGGGCCCATGCATTCCGGAGCTTGAGCTCTCATGGCATGATGATGTCGTACTCGTCGTGTCCCCACATCTGAGTGCGATCGCCGCTCTTGACGAAGAGCTGGTGCGACCTGTCATTGCGGAAGAGGGTTCTGAGTGCAACGTGGTTTGGTCTGCTCATCACGGCATGTTGTGCGTTTAATGGGCCCACTTCCTTGGATGCATGCGCCTCTGAGTGATAGTTGATAGTCCACTGAGACATGATGGATGGTTTGTCCGTCAACCAGGTTTAGGCTCTGGTTCCGGGCATGGTCTTGCGTGGCGTGGCGCCGGCTAGCTCCTTGATCACTGGCGACGATGTCGCGTGATGGCTGGTAGTTTTGTCTCTTATGTGTGTCCTGGCTCGTTGCGTTTCGCTGGCGGCAGAGCTGCTGTTCGGGGCGTGGTTCTACCACCGGACCCAGGTTTCCCACTTGGTTGACCTAGATGGGGTAGGAGCCGGTGACGGCGTTGATCTGTTGGTTTGAGCGATCTTGTATTTCCCTAGAAGGATGTAGCCGCTGCGGGCCACCTCTTGGGTGAGCTCGCCATGAGCCATGGGCCTTTGGCTCCCTAGGTAGAAGTCACCGCCATGGCCAGTGACGAGAGAGGGTGTTGGTCCCCCTATGTAGGTGAACTTTGGGATGCAGCCCCTGAGGGCAATTCCAAGAGTATGTCCGCCATGGACCACGGGATCTAGACCTTCAGGGTGGAGGTCCGGGCCACGTCTAAAGGTGAACGTGGGCGCTAGCCCTTTGGTGTGGTTAACCACGTGATTTCCCAAAAGGATGTGGCCGATCGAGGCCATTCCCTAGTGAGTTCGTTACGAGATGTGGACCTCTGGTTTCCTAGAAGGAAGACCTGGCCACAAGCGGTGATGAGTAAGGGTACTATCCCCCTTGTGTAGGTGGACTCTAGGATGCTGCCCCAAGGGCAGTTTCGAGAGTGTGTCCGCCATGGATCGCATAATCCAGATCTCTAGGGTGGAGGTCCGGGCCGTGGCTGAAGGCGAACACGGGGTACTGGCCCTTTGGCACCGATGAACTTATAGTTTTTGTGGCGGATGTGGCCGTCGTGGGCCATTCCGCTAGCGAGTCCACCAGTGGTGGGAGGAGCCATCGCTTCCTTCTCAACAAACGAGAGTGCGTGCCAATTGTTGGTGTTTCATAAACTGAACTAGTGAATTTATACGATTGCCGCGCTACTCTAGGAAGACAATGGTAGCATCCAAAAGACACAAGGATTTATACTAGTTTAGACCAGAGCCCTATGTCCTGTCTCAGAGAAGATCGAGTGCGTGTTCCTCGCTTGAATGCTATGAAGTTCTTACAATGGGGAGAGGGGTGCAAGAATTGTGGAAGAGGAAGAAGTGCTAGAGCTAGGAGACGGATTGCCTGGAGAGATGCTCCAGGAGCCATGCTACGATGGCGAATGAGTGAAATAGTAGAGGATGTGAATCATGTCGAGTTGGGTGCCTTGGCTACCCTTATATAGAGTTCGGGGCCAAGGCTCATACAAAGCAGTAGATTCTCCCGACCGAAGGGTCGTGAGCCTGAGGGAGGGCCTAGCTAATTTGGCTTGTAAGCTATGCCATCTTGAAGTACACGTCCGGGCATGGTTGTCGTCATGGTCTTGTGGCCACATCGCGGCATGGTGTGGCGTGTTGCTACTATGCTAGCCGTGGTCAGCACTGTAGGCACTCTGGTGGTTCGCCAGCCGTCCCGTGCGATGTGGTCTTCTACCGTGGTCTTCGTCATCGTCTCCTGGTTTCCTGGGGCGTCGTACAGGAGCTGGTAGCCATCCCTAGGTCGTTGATCGCCATGTTGTCTCGAGGAACGGGGGACCACGATCCCTATTGTTGGGGTCATGGTTCCTGCCAGCCTGGTGGCCTCTAAGTCAAGGCCCTCGTCGTGGATCCCATCCTGTAATGGGTAGGATCGTACACTCGTCTCGTTGGGCCATATCTGGCCAGTGGTCATCATACCTATCGTTCACCGCTTTGGGCGGTGTTGTCTTATTTGTGCGGTATGGCATAGGGATGGCGTCTAACCGGACCGAGGTGACTACTGTCCCCTCGGTCCTTGCGTGGTCAGTGCGGCGTGCTCGTTCTTGTCAGAGTAGGCACGCTTGGCGGTGCTTGACCTCTCCCTGTTCCTTTCGGGGTCAGGACGGAGGAGAGGCTGTGCGCCTTTTGAGCGCCGCGTGGCTAAGGCATGAAGAAGGGGTCGTGGCTGACCCTGGCCTTAGCATCCGGCCTGGTTAACTTGTTTTGGCTTAGTTGGGCCTCAGTCATTGGGGCCTTCATTAGCTGGTGTATTGTGGGCCGTGTGGCCCGCTAACTAATCGATGCCTTGAGACACCTAGGGTTATGACCCCGACACCAGGAAACTAAACACCGATCTCTACTTAACTTCTAGTTACCAACCACCTAGTGCTACAACTGATAGAACAACGACAGGTAAAGCGCAACATCATTTTACAGACTGGTGGCATTCGCCAAGACCCTCTACACCATCTCTTCTGCCAGGGGCTTCAACGTCGGCTTCAGTAATGGAGTCCAAGTTTTCACCAGCGAGATCATCCTATAAACTAGTGTCACGAGTGAGGATAACATCTTCTTGTTGAACACCACATCATTACGCGCTTTCAATATAGTCCACATCGCACCTGCACAAATGAACAACGTCACCTCCCGCCTTTTCCCTCTGCAATGTTCCACAATATCTCTAAAAAAACAAGTCACAACAGACTGGAGATATCTCCCAGCCAAAACTATCTCTCGAAAAGGACCATAGAAACATAGCAATGGGACATTGAAATATGATATGATCTGAAGTTTCAAGCTTGCCACACACAAAACATTATTCTTCCCCTGACCATTTCTTCTTCTTCAGCTGGACTGCACATTGTATATGGTCATGGGCTACCATCCACATAAAAATCTTAACCTTCAAAGGGATATTGCATTTCCAGATTTGCATCATTTGACGGTCCATATAAAAGTCTATATAAAGATCTCGATGAGTATTTTTTGGATCTGTCTAGAAACCAAAACACCTGATCTCTACCTGCTGATAGTTCTACATCGCTTAATAACTCTAACAGATTATTCCATTCATCTAACAGAGATTCGTTGAATTGTCTTCTAAACTGGATGGACCACTGATCGTCCACAAAAGCTTTAGTGACCTCTAAATCTGGACTTGAGGCGATCTTGAAAAGATTTGAGAAGCTGATCTTCAGCGGGCAACCAAACACCCAGCAGTCATGCTAGAATCTGGTCTGCATTCCTAATTTGATATTGACACCACGTCCTTTTTGGTACCAATCCCTCACATCAAGCAAAGATCACCACGTCCTCTAGGATATCCTGCTTGAGTTTCTTTTGTTGGCTGTCATTGTTTTGCCCCCACCCTTTAATAGCTCTTCTAAGCTTGCTTGAAAGAACATGCCAATGATCCAGAGGATCATATTTATACCTAGCTGGCCATTTACTCTGCACCCACTCCTTAAACCCTCCTTGATTCAACCAATGAGCACTAAATCTAAAATAGTGTTGCTGAAAACTCAAATTATCTCTAGTGTCAACCATAAGTGGGTTATGATCTGATCCAAATCTTGGGTCTGTAACTACAGTAGTAAGGTTATATCTGTCTTCCCAAGCATTTGAAGCCAGAACTCTATCTAGAACACACATGATAGGGGGGGTTTTGTTTGTTATTCCATGCGCACCTGCTTCCATGAGATGAGCATCAACATTACCAGAAGATTTCTCCTCTATCTTCCTAACCAAATTAAAGTCTCCACCAAGCATCATAGGTAAATCTGAGCTTAAAACTTTATTCTGGATTTCCTCCAAGAATTCTAGTTTCCTATCATCATGGGTAGGACCATAAATGTTTAGTAACATCCATTGAAAGCCATCTAATTTCATTGTCAGGGTACAACTTTGAAAGAACTCTCCCTTATCTTCAGCTGTGACACTAGCCAATTCTTTATCTATCGCCATCAACATGCCACCAGAGTGGCCAGAACATGGGAGCCATGACCAAAACATGTCCTTCTGTCTAGCAAATCTCTCCAGATCTCTGTCTAAAGGTTGATTTTATAGTCTCCAGCAAGCATATACAATCAAAATTATGTTTGTTTACTAACTCTATTAGCAGTTTCCTCCTTCCTGCATTACCCAGTCCTCTTATATTCTAGAATAATATCTTCGTCCTTGATCCAGGAGGGATAAATTATCTTCATTAACAGCTCTGACCCCTGAGAACTCTAATCTTAGGGTTTGATTATCGGAAGAACTCTCGTCTTTTGACAGAACTCTAGTCTCAGCCGAACTCTCATCAACATTCAGATCTTTATTTTCCACAGAACTCAACATAATCTTTTGTTTTGTGTTTAATAACACTGCTAGTGCAGCCTGTTTTGCTTGTATCATGGAGATATTTGCTAATCTAGTTGTTTCCTCCTCCCCAGAGAAAAGCCACAAACTCTAGAAATATCTTCTAAGGAACAAGATGGAATAGGATCAGAAGAAGTGGAACATGAAGTAGTACCTTTGAGGCCAGCTTTGCTGGCTATAACTTCTCCATGACACGCTTGTCTCTGTCTTGAATTCTTGTGCTTTGTCTGGTGAGGCATCTTGCTTTGTCAGGTAACATATGTTTATCAGTAGATGATTGAGCACTGACATTTGTCTAGTTGATCATAGCCATGCCTTTTTGCTGTAGGTCTGGGAGCTTCATCTGTGTGCCTCCATTATCATTCCCCTGATACCCAGCATCTTTATAAGAATCCTCTAACTTTTCTCCATCTTCACTATCATCACAAGAAGCACCTGTTTTACTTACTATACTATCTTCAGGTTTATCTGCCTGCTTGTAGGCAGTGAGATTCTCTTGCATGTTTGTCACTGTAGTTGGCCTCTCAGCGCCTCCCTTGTCATCAGGTTCATCAGAGAGTTGTCCTGACATTTGATCATCCTCTACAAACTCTAAAGAGGGGACATTCATCAAAGAGATAGTTTGAATTGTGCCTAGTGTGGTTCCAGACTGCATCTCAGACATTTTCTGAACTCCTTCAATCTGTGCTACCTCCCCTTGGGGGTTCAGTTTTAAAGCTAAATTTTGCATTTCCTGAATCACATCAATGGATGGAGGGAAATCTATTTTAACTCCAATACCTTCATAATTGCTTTGAGGGACTGACATATTTGCCTTCTTGCCCTGATAGTTTGAAGTTCCAGCACCAGTTGGAGCAGATGATTCATTTGGTGGTGGTTTGCCAGACTCCAACCAACCATGGCTTTCCTGGGATTCAGGGTCTTCTTCATTAGTAATGTCATCCTCATTGTCATCTAAATCATCCTCATCATCATCAGGTTTGTTTGGTGGATATTTCTGCAACTTATTAGAGTAATACCAAGAGATCCTTCTTCCTTTCTTGTTAATGAAAACTTCAGACGTTCCCCCAATCTGATTAGGATTCTTACAAGATACTTTTACCCAGATAGACCTCCAGTGAAGAGAAGGTAGATGGACTTCCTCAGGATCACCCACCAGCCTAGCCAATTCCATGATAGCAAACTTTGTCCTTGCATTGTCAGGTATCCCCATAGCTCTAACCCACACTGATTGTAGCACTTGAAAAACATCAGGGTCTAACTTTGTTTCTTCTAGAACAGCTAATATATCTACAGTGATGAACTTGATTTTGCCCATTTTCATGAGAATATTCATAACTGCTTTGGACGGACTGCTAACTAAGAACTCACTGCCTAAAACTCGCTTAACATCCCCACTCCCATTCAGAATCCACCAAATACTGAAGTTCAGTTTTGATCCTCAGTTTAGTACCATGACCCTCAAGTACAGAAACCAGAGCTCTAATTGGTGCGTCATTCTCAACTTTACCCTCCTGTTTTGGTTCAGGTAAATCTAAAGCATAGAAAATTTGTCCCGGCATTCCATACCCACATAAGTGCAATCCCTTATTTGATTTCATCAACGGACACTGAACAGATTTGTAGCTAATATCTCTACAGCTATAACAGAAAGGGGGCCTTGTGCAGGTAGATTGGTTGGGCCCATAGTCATTACAGTTTAAGCATTTCATCGGTTGGCCTGAATACTGACCTGAGCTAGAGCCCCAATTCTGCAGTTGGTTGAAGTTTCTCCTGCGGTCTTCAATCCTATGCCTGAGATCCTCCTCTGTCATCAGCCTGACATCACGTTCCTCCTACGCATCCACAGCACGCTTACGGCCTTGATAGTTTCTTGGATCCAGATCTCTAAAGCCTTGGTGATTTGGGCGCTGATCTCTATCATTGCGATCTTGGGGGTCACAGCGACCACGCCCATTAGGGCCCTGGAAGGACTCTCTCGCATCATGATGTTGATCTTGGTTGTCTTCACACCTGCCCCGGTACCAGTCACCATCCCTGAATCGCTTGCCATGTCTACCATCACGCACCTAGAAAGGCTTCCTTTCCATAGTGGACTTTGCTACTTCCGCAAACGATCTCTAGTCAGTGGTAGCAGATTGCATTCGACGGAGACGTTTGGCCTGCGCTCCAAACTGTCTGATATCACTCAAGCTCGCTAAAAACCGCTCAACTGTCGGGTCCCAAACCCCAGCGGCGGCAACCCAGAACCATTTGTTGGTTCGAGCTCTCTGTTGGGGACGTTTGGCCGGTGGGATGTAGGAGTGGGAGAAAAGATCACATATGGATGGGCCAGAAGCTAGCCCAGTCTCAGCTAATTTAACATTGTTCGGCCCAACCCACTTTCCCTTCTCCTCCACCGTCAGCTTTTTCTGCTCAACCAGAGTTTTGGCACCCTCCCGTGCTCTCTATGCTGATTACCCTGTCAGCTATTTCTGATCCATCACTGGTGGCCTTAGCTCTTTCAGAATCTGATCAGTTGAGCGAATACACTCTTCAATAATCTCTTGCTCTTTACTGATCCATGAGATTTTTAATGGGAGGTTGCTCATAGCAATGGAGTTAGACTCAATTGCAACAATTGGGGGAATTTTTGTGATGCCTGAGTCTCTCCACTCTGGTTTGATCATCAGGCTGAGAATGTTTGGGAAGCCCAAATGCCACTGTAGTGTCCTTTTGGGACCAACTCAATGGTGGGAAATGATCTGCATTCATCCAATCCTATAAATCCATCTCGTCCATGGTTTTCGCAACCGAAGGTGTTGAGCTAACGTCGCTTGCCTCGATGGCTCGAGTGACGCGCTCGGTGAGCTCAATAACGGGCATGTTCGAGTGGAATCTGGGTTCGTCGTTCGTAACGGGGTCGGCATAGCCCTCATATGGCATTCCACTGCTCCTTAACCCACCTCCCGACAGATGCTCGAGCCATTCCAGAAATCGACTCAGGTGGCCCACTGGTCTTCCCTCAATGGAGATTGTGTGGGCATGACTCGAGGTCAGGATCAAACGAGAAGGTCGAGATGACCCTGTCCGCTTCTGAGCGGATTGGGCGAGGGCCGCTAGGGCTCATCTGCATTTTCTCCCCTAGCTCTATTTAACGCGAGGCGGCCTCAAGCCCTTTGCGGGCCGGCCTTCAAACCCCGATCGGTCGTCGCTCATATCGAATGAGACGACTACTGCTTCGTGACGCGACGCGAAGCGTTGTGAAGCAACAATTGCATATGCAATGCTATGATGTATGGGATGAATGTATTGATGAATATATGACTGGATGTATGAATGCATGCATGAGAATGTATGAATGAATGCTCATGCACTAGAAAAGTAAAACGGGGGTTGGTAAAGTTACCTCGATGGCTAGAGTGATGGGTTCGGGGAGCTTCGATTGGATATGTCCGAGTGGAATCTGGGTCCGTCATTCACGACAGAGTACGGATAACCCGCATGGGGCATCCCACTGTTCCTTACCTGTTTCTCGGTAGCCGCCCGAGACGTCTGATCGACTTGGGTGACCGGCTAGCTTCTCCTCGATAGAGATTCCATCAGTGGGCCCCTCCAAACCTTTCCTAGGAAGGCGGAGGGTCGTTTGCGTGCGGCTGCGCTGTGACAAAACCGCCTAATTTATACAAGATCAAGTACGGCTGTCCCCGCTAACACGTTGATACGCACATACTTTCACTTATATAAACCCGGTAGTCCGCCGAGTGTCACGAAGGACTTGATAAATCAACATCATAACCAAGATCGCATGATTAAGCAAATACACATCATATACACAGAGTTGTAGCGAAAATAATGTTTACAATAAGTTCACAAATAATAGTACAAGCTTGGGTTTTAAAACCGGTTAAGGAAAAACAACATAGCTTTCAAATGATTATATTAATATAAGTTCCAAATATATTGCTAGCATAAGTGACATCTTCTGATAAAAGCATATAGATGAGAAATAAATCTAGAGTCATCGAGCCCACCTGCGGTTAGCCACCATCTTCAGCAGGCCGAGAACTTCACCTGCAACATGGTGGGATAAACCCAGAGTACTCGAATGTACTCAACTAGACTTACCCATCATAAACCAGAAATAAAGTGACACCAAGGATCATGCAAGGCTTTATAGGTGGAGCTAGCTTGACAAAATTTTGCATAAAAACCACTAGTTGAGCTATACATTTTATAATTCGGTAACTAAGTTAATTATAGCTATTCATCTCTAGATTAGCAACTAACTTGTGCCAAACATGTGGAATGTTATTTAGTAACATGCAATAGTAACCATAGCCGGTGTAACATTTTCATATTCATCATAACCATCAAATTCCATCGATTAATGCTACGTTGCCGCTGCTCAATCAAGTTCTCACTGTCCTGGAGAGACGACGACTCGAATCGATTCCAACCAGCTGGGGAGTTATTCCTAACACAAACCTAGACATACCTGCGCCAAGGTAGTCTTAGGTCACCTTTGGTACAACTTAGGTACAGTCGCAGGTCTAAGCAGCACCGGACCCTCAGGGATACTACCAGTATGCTAGAAAGTTTAGGCCTGGCTTGCCCTTGGACTCACACCACTGGTTCCCCGCACATCCTTATTGTCTCCAGTGTGCGCACTTTCACTTACCGGGTCCCGACCTGAGTTGAGCTACTCGGCTTCGCAATCAGAACGAGTTATCCAGCCAACTAAGTGTTAGGCATGCATTCAACATGACATGAGGACATACAACGAATCGGTCCTTAATCGACACAGACAAAGATAAATAGGCACCAAGACCTCCATGCCTTGTTGCTTCTCTATCACAATCCCGTCCGGTCTCTATTTATTTATCAACACATGGTTATTTTCACGATAGCAAATATAGCCAACCGTGCTTTGGTATCCACCTATATCTCGCAGGTAACAAGAAATCACCCCGGTATAAGCATTGCTAAGCATACATTCAATCCTGGACCTACATAGGGTTTAAGGTATATTTCTGGATAAGGTAGTTCTATGCATCAAGTGGTTCCAATCAACTCTTATAACCTAATGCATCAAACATAAATGACTCAAGTGATATTTGTAAAAACATAGGAGGCTTAGAATGCTCTGGGGCTTGCCTAGGATCTGACACAAGTTAGTTTAGTTAGCTCGCACTGTCTTGGTGACATCTCTGGTCCTAACACTTGCTTAGTCCTTCCGTCTTCTGGATGGATTCACCAAACTCCATCTTCGAGTTCGGCTCCATCATCACGTCCTTCATGTGGTGCATCTAGCGTACCTAGATGAGATGCAACAATGTAAGTGCATGAATACGAAGAATGGCAATATGATATACCTCACATAAAAGTATTCAAGATGAGTACAAGGTTACACCGAACATATATAAGCATTCCACGTTACTTAATTAAACATACCACCACCTATCATGCTAGGATAGCAAGGAAGGTAGCACCAAGCATGAAACAAATTTCACAAGGTTTTAGGTATATTAACTTAACACCATCAAAGGCATGAGCCACACTTAGCAACACACAAAGCAAAGCAAGGTGAAGCAAACAATTTTAGGTACAACACAAATTTTGAACAACAGTACCACAGTCATTTGTTTTAATCATACCCAGAGTTATAGACATGCAAAAAGTGTGATTCAAGACTTTATGGAAAGATAATGAAATTATTTAAAACTTTATTATTAACACCCAAAGCTGATTCAACAAATAACAAGGTCAAAATACATCATTAAGCAGAGCTTATACAACTAAGGACAGAAAACTGATATTAACTTCAGAAATGCATAACTGGCATACTAATCATCCAACAATTATGGTTCTTAACTTTATGGAAATCTTATTAAGTTACCTATAACTTTATTATTATCACTTTAAGATGATTCTATAGCTAACAAGGTCAAACAACACCAAGAAGGCATCTCTGTCCAGATTTGAACAGAAATCTGCCATTTCACTTTGAACAGCTATAACTAGAGTTCTAGATCACCAAAAAGAGTGATCTAAGACATTTTAGAAAGCTTAGGAAAAGAACTAAAACTCTCTTATTATCACCAATACATGGTTCCATGTCTAAATGAGCCAAACAATACAATCATTTAGATCTATCGAAAGGACATGCAAAACCTGACAGTAAACTTCTAAAATCTATAACTCCTAAACCATCAGGCCTAAAATCATGAAATTTCAGAAAAAGCAAGATAAGGAAATTATATACAACTTTGGTATTCACCCCATTTACATAAAACATCATTTGATCCATGAAGTTATCATCATAACAGAAAATGCACATGCAACCATTTTAGAATGTAAAAATTTAATGTTTCACTTGTTTTGCTAACAAAGAGCATGCACACATGAGCCATTCAAGAACTTCAACCACCACTAACATACTTAGCAACACTTTATTGAACACCAATCACTCAAAGCATCACCAAATACAATTATAAGCTTTATCTACCATTATGCTTTTAGTAATCCTTTCTCCTAATAAACATATATATAATTTTAGTGATATATGAGAACAACTAGTTTGGGGCTGAGATTTTTATGAGTGGTATATGTTATCAAAACATGGCTACTATACAAATTTCACATGCCCTAGTTTTATAATTTAATTACTATGAAAAAGACAAATTGCTATTGGAAGAAAACATGTAAAAGCAAGATAAATTTAAAAATCACCATTTTCTATAAACATATAGACATATTATGGTTGCTCAGGTCACAATATCACCATGCAAGGGCAAGTGAACCACATTTCATATTTTTGCATATATAAATTATTTATAAACCATTTAAAACCATTTATCAAGCATTAGTCAAGTTAAATCAATAACTCAACCATACGACATCTAATGAACATGAGATTTTTACCACATCACACATATATCATCATTAGCCTACCATAAAAATTCATAGCAATTGGAGCACCACAACTTTAGATATGACAATACCAAGCAAAATAAGCTAAAATTGCCTATATAACAAGATTAAATCAAAACATTATAAAAGTAGTACATAAAT